TGGTTGCCCCTGGCCCCTGCGGACGTTTAGCGGACCCTAAAGCTGGAAAATATCCTAGCCCCCCTCAGTTAAACATAAATAAATTACAGCGCGTAAAACAACTCCAACAAACTTCCATTTACCCCATAAACGACCCCAATTTATAAAAATGTGTATGTGTTTCTGCACCCTTGCTTGGTTAGTGCTCTAGGCATACGTTTAACATTCCATCAGGTTAGGAAGCCGTGGCTTCGTTGTTTTTTGTTTTTTGTTTTCCCACAGGATCCTCCTCTCTCAGACCTGACACTTACAGTGGCCTGTCCCAGGGATCCTGCAGAGCTCTTCAGGGGCCAGGCTTTTCTTTTAAAGCGAGATGTTAACATTCAGCAGCAGAGAAGGAGCTGGCCTCCTCCACCCCAGCTAATTGCATATTAGACGGTAAAGATAATAGCCCGGGAGGAGACTGCACTCAGTCAGATAGTATGTGTTAAGAGCTTGTCATGTGCCCAGGACTAAGACTGTAGTGGGTAGACTGAAGCACAGGGAGCGAGAGACACTTTCCCGATGCTTCCTGGCCTGGACCCCTGGACTTTTCAGCACTTTCCAATGCATAGACAGGCTGGCAGTTTTGAGACTTCTCCCAAGAACTGCATACTCAAATTCCTGCTGGCTCCAGGCTGTTACAGGAAATGTGGGAACTGGGGGGAGGAGGAGCTAGGCCATGAGGAGGAATGGGGCCTGCAGCCAGGAGAGTGAGTGCATGACCTATATTCACACTTAAAACACTGCCTGCTAAACAGAGCTGAAGGCAGGTTGAATTTGCCCTGTGGGCGTCAAGTTTGAGAACCCAGAATGAGAGGGTGGTGTGCCAGGGGCCAGGACTCCTGCAGGGCTCTTTGAAGGCCCAGCTGTGAGAATGGGGATGGATCTGTTCCCAGGGGACAGAGTGGGCCCAGCCCAGAGGGCACAAAAAGGGAAAGGCCTGGGTTGGTATCTGGAACTGGAGAAAAGCCAGTGTCCCAGCGGAGCCTGGTTCTGCGTGTGTGTGTGTGTGTGTGTGTGTGTGTGTGTCAGGGAATGGGTGGGAGTTGATGGAGCTTCCAGCTCCTGGGGAAAATCAGCACAGCCAACTAACTCAAGGGCAAGATAAACTGATACTTGAAAAGCTGGTTCACAGACAAGCTACATTCATCAAACATCTGTTATGTGCCAGAGCTTTATATATGTTATTTTATGCTGAGGGTAGGGTGAGTATCCCCATTCTACAGATGAGGGGACTGAGGATAAGAGAAGTAAAATCACATTGTCAGTGAATGTCAAGTATACTTTAATCATGCTTCTAAAAAGGTGCATTACAGATCCACTTGGGATCAAAAAAGCCCTTGAACATAGAAAAGCTCCTGGATCATATGAAATTAGAGCTGCACAAAATTCTAGAGTTGAGAGAGGCCCCAAAGTGAATATCCTTTGCCCAAACCTTATCGGTCTAATAAATTCTGTTACAACACCTACCCCTACCTTGAAGGCTCTTCCAGAAAAAATCAAGTTATGGCACCATTGTCTTTACCCCAAGTTCCCTGCCTGTGGGAATTTTTCAACATTAGATATTTTCCTTCAAATATGATTTACCAAAATTCAGTTAGTTCCCAAACCCTCTAGAACATATCAGGGAAATGCCAAGGGTTCTTACTTTCTCAGCCACTACTGTCCTATCACCTAGGAGCTTGAGAATCATTTTCAAGATCAGGTAAGACAGGAATGCCCTAGGCTGCAAGGAACAAAGTCTTTGAAACGGGTGCCTTAAACAACAGTGACCCTATTTCACTGAATGAGCCTAGAGGTGGGCAGTTCCAAGAATGGGGCAGTGGCAAACAGTGTCAGTAAGGACTTCAATTTCCCCCATATTTTGTCTTTGTTCTCCTTAGTGTGACACTGATACTTCTCCTTGCAGTCACAGGATGGTTGCTCCAGCACTACCTATCGTGCCTTCACAATAATGTCTAAAAGCAAAAGAGAGGGGAAAATGGACAAGTTCTTTTTTGTCACAAAGTACTAGGAATAGACTTCTTACATCTCATTGGCCAAATCTGGGTCACATGCTCATCTTTTGACCAATCATTGACAAAGGGAAATGGGGTTACTATGATTAGTGGGAACCAATCATAATTCATCCTCTCAGACTGGGCACATTGAGGAGAGATAAAGTCAGAGTCCTGTTAGGAAGGAGGAAGTTAGAGTGTTCTTAGAGTCATGCTAGCAGCTGTAACAAAGATATCCCCACATTTCATTGGCTTAACACAACAATTTCTCTTTTCTCTAACGGTTGAATGAGGATATTCATGGTTGGCAGGTGACTTCTTCCACAAGGTGATTTAGGGGACCTGCCTTGTGTCTCTGCCCATTTATGGCTCTGCCTCCCACAAATGTCACATGGGGGAAGAGAAGATGGAAATGTACATCCACTTCTTAAAACGTCATGGTCTGGAAGTGACTCACTTTTCTGCTCACACCCCATTGGTGAGAACTCATGGCCCTGCCTGGATTCAGGAGGAGCTGGGATGTGTAACCCTTGACCAGTCAGCTACCTTAGCAACAACTATTCATAGGAGAAGTGGCTGATGGGAGGCAATTAACTCATCTCTTATAGGCTGATCTCCTTTCAGCCCTGCTTTTAAGGATTATCCCAGCTTTTCCAAACCTCTTTGCCAGTTACTTCCAGTGGCTGCTGCCACCTACACTAGACCACACATCAGTCTCTGAACACTCCTTTTATTCGCTTGCCTCCCAACCTTTGCCCAGGCCGTCCTCTCACCACAAATTCCTTCCCCACTTTTCTTCTCTGCGTGGTAAACTCCTATTAATCCTTCAAAGCCCAAATTGAAAATCATCTCCTTTTGCAGATTTTCCCACTCTTTTACCCTGGGCAGGGTTCCTAACACCTTGAAGGTGACTTATCACTGAATTCAGTTTAGCACACAGTAGGGGATTAGTTTGTGTGCTAAATAGATCTAGGTACTTCAGGCATGAGAACTCATTTGGTTGCAAGAGATAGAAAACTCATCTCGGATTGCTTTAAGAGAATATGTTGATTCATGTAATTGGACATGACCCAGAGGTATCTTCAGGCTTGGCTCTATCCAGGGGGTTCAGATGATGCCCCCCAAGTTTCTTTCTCTCTCCATTTTGTCTTTTCTCCTCCATGACAGCTTTATTCTCAGGCTCCCTGCAGAGGCAAGACAGCTGCCAGCCACTCTTGACCTCATTCACTTAGGTTAAAGTGCAACAGGGAACGGAGTTTCTCTCTTCCTGAGTGTGCAAGCTTAAATCCCACTGCTCGCTCTGCTTGGACTAGCCGGGGTCATGTGCCCATCCCTGAACAGATCACTCAGGCCAGGAGGCTGGAATTATGTAGACTGTCCAAGGATCTTGCACTCTGGCCCGTCCACGGATTCAGTCCTGAAGCTGGTGGGGTTGGGGTCACCCCAGGTGGGCAAAACGTGACCAGGAGTGAGAGGGGTGTGGCTTCCCACGGGAAATTCCAGGTATTGTTACCACAGGATAGAGGAGTGCTGGGTGCCCCAGAAGCCCACATAAATATGTTTTACAGTGGACCTTCACCACGTGAAAAGACCCATATCCTACCATAGCATAACAGCCGCTATTGACTGAGCGCTTAACCTTGTGCCAGGCTTAGTGCCTTATAAGCCGAACAACACGTGAGGTGGCTTCCAGAATTTCTCCTGTTTTCCACATGAAGAAAGCAGGGCTGAGAGAACTGAAATGACTTGCCCAAAGTTCACAAGTGGCCAAGGAGGGATTTTTGCTGAGAACTGGTGACTGACTCAGCCACGCTTTGAACCGCTGCACTGTAGGACCCCTCAGCGTATGGCCAAGCTGGAGGTTTCTGTTTTAGGGGTCTGGGAGTTGGGGTACAGTGGATCTTACAGGCCTGTAGGGCTCAGGGTTAACATTGGTCCCTCCTTCGAATACCCAGTGCCTCTCAGTACCACTGGATCCTACTTTAAAAAGGTGCAGGAGGGTGAATTTCGCTGTAACCTCATGGGGATACACTGCCCTGACGCCATTTTGCCCCTCTTCTTCGGGAACACAGGGATCAAGAGGGTAACTGACACTCGCCAGAACCATCTGCCCAGCTCCTAATAATAAATCGTGAGAGAAACAGGTTTCAGGCAAACATCGCTGGAAAAAAAAAACCCCTCTTCTCACACCCGGGCGGCCATCTGCCGTGTCCTCCTCATGTGCCAAGCTGTGGGAGGAGGAAGGTCTCTGGGGGGTGGGGAAGGGAGAGGGTGCTGCTGGGTCCTGCACCGCCAGCAGGGGTGGCTCACAAGTTCTCTTCCTTTCACCGCTGTGGACAGGGCATCACAGAGAAAGAGAAAAGAGAGAGAGAGGAACACTTGCTGGCTTTGCCCTCCCTGGGTACAGTGTCTGAGCAGAGGGAAAGCATAATCCCTTCAAGATGCCAATGGTAGGTAATAAGAGCTCCTGTGTATGGGGGGCTTCCTGTGGGGTCAGGCATTATGCAATCCGTTGTACGTATTAGCTCAACTCATCCTGACAACAGTCTGTGCACATCCATTATATAGACGAGAGACTGGAGACTCAGAGATGTTAAGTGATTCATCCAAGGTCACACAGCAAGGCTGCCTCTTCAGTATGCAATAATGAAGCCCAGCTTCCTCTCCACCCTGGCAACCCAGGGTGGGTTTTCCATGTAACACATAAGCAGTTAACATCGTCACCCAAGGGTGGTCTTCCAACTTCAGCCCTCCCTTCCTGCCCTCCACCCTTGAGCTGAAATGTGAGTTTTTCTAGTCACCTAACTTGTGCTTAATACCCACCCCATCTCACCCAGAAGAAGCACAGGAGAAAAGACTCCGAAAATTCCCGGGAACCTTCGGAGAAGACCAAAGAGCAGCTGGCCGAGATGGAGCTTCGGAAGCTGAGGCAGCAGTTCCGGAAGATGGTGGACAGTCGGAAGTCCTTTAACTTCCGCTCTCAGCAGGAGATCATGAACCAGCAGTAAGTGTTGGCCAGAGTTTTGTACTTGTGAACTTGGAGAAAATGTTAGGTTTGGGTTTACGGGGCTTGCCTTCTCACGTGGCCTCTGGGGCTGGGACCCGCTTGGGATAGCTTCAGTGGGGAGAGGAGGGTTATTCTCAGAATCCAGGGTGTCTCAGGGACTCCAGAGGGAACAGGGCACCCATGTCTCAGGGAGGGACCCAAACGAGAAGCCATTTCTGGTTCCTGTTTTTTTCATCACATGGGTTTTGCCCCTCCTTCTCTAAATCTCAGCCCTGGCTGGTGGGAGGTGGCTGCCTTCAATTCTTGAGCTACCAAGGGCCACACAGAGAGAATGTCCTTAACCAATTCCAATCCCAAAATTGCCAGGAGAGGGAGAATCTGATTGGTTTAGCTTGGGTCCAGTGTCTACGTCTGGTCCAATTAGCTGCTGCCAGGAGGTGGGCCATATAACAAAAAATAGCTCTGGGTACTCTTCCCACAGGTTCTAGCAGTGACGGCGGGGAGTTCCCAGAGAAGGGGAAATCACCAAGCCATGAACACCCCAAAAGACATTTCCTGCTTGTGCGTCTTTATGGGATCTGCAAGATTGAATATTTGAAATTAGGTTGCCCTAGAAATTATGATGTGTATAGTTTCTTTGGGCAACAGAAAAGTGTTCCCTGGGGCTGAATAAACATTAAACAGGCATTCTTAGATTCTGGCCAACGGTATATAATTCCTTAACCACATCCATAATGTTTATACAAGCAGCAACTGCCTGTTATTAGAAAGACAATTTTACTGTTAGATGATGCGTGAAGTTCAAAGGATAAGGAAAAGGGGTTATTTAGATTCTCCATGGATTTGACTCACTCAGAGCCACTGCTATTCCCTATGGGATCTTCATGTGAAAAAGGCACCCTTTCTCAAGACCCTTTACTGCCATCTGTTGGAAACATTGTCATTACTTAGGGATTTTGTCAGAACAAGACAAAGTACCTTCCAGAAAAGTGTAATAAATCAACAACTCAGTGATCAGTTTTCAAGCAGAAGGTGCTCCTTTGGGTTGTGCAGTCCACAACCTGCACATCTGTGCCCAGCAACCCTGATTCACAGTCTACCCTTGGTGGGCATCAGGAAATGCCTCCTTCCTGGTGTGTCTCTGGCAGTTTTCCTCGAGCCTTTCTTACCCTTCTGCACCCTACTTTACCATACCTCGATCCATTTGGTCTGGTTTCACTGTGGTGGAACTGAAGGGGAGGGGAGTGGAAGAGTGGAGATAAACACCTATAAGTAAGAGGGGTGGGGTGAGCGAGGTGCTTAGGGCACAATATTTAAGGAGGTGCTTTTTCCCAGCACTGATCCTGCACCTATACCACCTGAGAGTGAAGACTTCCTTAACTTTTGAGGTGTCTCAGTCCCCTCACTGCAGTCCCAGCCCTGCCTACAAGACAGACAAACCTTCATTTTGTTTTTACCACTCCACCTCCACCCCTAGAAAGCCCAACTCAGATGGACTATCCCACTCTCTTTTCTCTCCACCTTAACAAAGACCTCTCCCAAGAGGGGCTTAAGAGGGGGAAAAGAGTCCCAATCGTTAGGTTGAGGAGAGAAGATGCTCTGGAACTGGGTGTGCACACCAGTGGTCCCTAGCAACATGCAGCCATTTACATTTGCAAATAATTAAAATAAATAAAATTAGAAATTCACTTCTCCATTTGCACTAGCCACATTTCAGGTACTCAACACCACACGTGCCTGGTGGACGCTCAGACAGCACGGCTAGAGAACATTACTATCACTGTAGAACAGTCTATCAGACAGAGCTGCCTTAGAGCAGCAGTCAGCCATTGGTGACCCAGGGGCCAAGTCTGGCTGGCTGCCTGTTTTTGTAAATAAAATTTTGTTGGAGCACAGTCATAACTATTCATTTATGTGTTGCCCATGGTTGCTTTGCTGAGTAGTTGTAACAGAGAACCTCTGGACCACAAAACCTAAAAAATATTTATTCTTTGGCCCTTTATAGACAAAGCTTTGTAGACCCCTGCCCTAGAACATTCTTTGCTATTCCAGAGTGGCACTTCCAAAACTTTAAAGTGCATACAGGTCACTTGATGATCTTGTTACAAAGCAGATTCTGATTCAATAGGTCCTGGGTTGGAGCCCGAGCTTCTGCATTTCTCCAAGCTTCCAAAGGATGCTGTGGCAGCTAGTCTGCAAACTGCACTGAGCAGGGGGTGCAGGCCGCCCAGACTGTGCCAAGAACTCAGCCTCTGTACCATTTCCCGTCGATCAGTTGCTGTGCAGTCATCCAAACCTTCTTTTCTCTTTTCGAAATTCCCATTTGCCCACATCCCCCACCCCATCTCGTCTCCAGAGTAGACAGAGGGAGAGAAAGGAGTCTCATGGCAACTAGCTTAATAAATCATTAGCACCCGAGTAGAGAAGCTGGTGGGGGTGGGAGGTGACTGCATCTCTGTGTTGCATAGTTGAAAAATCATGCCTGATGGGTTTGCCTCTCATTACTGGAGATAATTGACTGTAAAGTCTGGAGAATCTGCAAAATCAGACAGATGCTAGTGAGCTGCTGGCAAAAAAGAACCTGGGGGCTCCCACCATGTCTAGGTAGTGGGTTTTGACAGGCACAGCTGCAAACTGTTCCCAGGAGAGGGAGAAAAAAGACAGCTCTCAGAGAAGGGCGGAGCAGTGGAAGTGAACTGGGTTGAAGGCCATTTGAGTTCCAGACCTGAATTGGAGACCTTAGGCAAGTCCCTTCCACTTGCTGGCGTAGAAAGCACCTCTCTGAGTTTCCTCTCATGGCCAAGGGGCCTGGAGCGTCTGATCTGGGTAAACTCGGGCTCAGGGTTAATCACACGCTGCTTTCCCAACAGCAAGGAAATCAAGACCCTGCAGGAGGAGCAGGATGAGATCACTCTGCTTTTGAATCTCATCAAGTCCTCCAGGAACTTGGATCTGAATGAGAAAAACTACATGGAGCTGCGTCTTCTGCTGCAAACCAAGGAGGACTACGAGGCCCTGATTAAATCGATGAAAATGCTGTTGGCTGAACTGGATGAGAAGGTGTGGTCTTTCTCTTAAAGGGTTAACCAGAACATGGAGCAAAGGGAAGGAGTGGGGAAGTGCCCATGATGTCCTAGGCCAGATCTGACACACCCTTCTTCTCCACACCCCCACCCCTGCTACTGTACCTCCCATGGTTGGCTTTTCTAAAGTTACTGTGGTCACTGTCTCCACCACCATTGTAACCCTGATCTCCGAGCTCTATTAATCCATTTCTCCACTCCAGTGCCTCCCTATTACACTTGGAATAAATGCCTAGATCCTTATTATATCAGTCAGGAGAGGTTAGGTTATGTTGCAGTAACAAATATCCCCTCTTCTCAACTCAGTGGTTTAAAACAATAAAGGTTTCTTTATCACTCATGGTTTAACTCTATTATGGATTGGCTAAGGGCTCTTATATCCCCTCACCCTAGGGCCAGACTGATGGGATAGCCCCCATCTTGAACATTGCCTGGTGTTGTGGTAGAAAATAAGTGAGATACTGAGGGTCTCACACTGGCAATTGAATGCTCCGGTGACGTGTGTCACTTCTGCTCATGAGTCATTGGCTCAAGATAGTCTACCAAACCCACAGATACCTCAAATACCCATACTCACACCCCAAATAGTCAACTCTACCCATTCATAAAAGGCTCTAGGCAGTGCAGCCCTCATGGATCCAGAAGGCAAAGAGCTGGATACATTTGCTGGACAGTGTTAATCCCTTTCTATGGTTTGGAAGGCCCTGCGTGATCTAGCCCCTGCCTACCTCTCTGACCTCATCCCATGTCATTCCTGCCTTAACTCTTCTCATCCCAGCTGCAAAAGACTTTTTTTCCCCAAATAATGCCAAGCCTTTTCTCACCTCAGGGCCTTTGTACATGTCCCCTACTGCCTCATCCTAGTTGCTGATCTTTGCTGATCTAGTTGCTTATCTCAGCCTAAAAGTGACTTTCTCAGGGAGGCCTTTTCTGTGCCCTCTCTCCAGTTTAAACTATATCCCCCTTGGATTAAGTTCCTGGCCAGGAACAAATAGCACACTCAGTAGGGTTCTCAGAAGAGTAGGGCACTCTGAAACCTGAGACAGGGAGCAAGACAGGGGGAGTAAATACCCCAACCTCTCTCTCTTCTCCCTTGCTGGCCCCCAGGACAAGGGAGCCGTTGTGGATCCTTCCCAGTCAGCTTCCTGGGACACAGAGCAGCGTGGAGAGTGGATCTCGGGGAGCAAACAGGCAATCCCAGCACACCCCGTTATCCTCTCACAGCACCCCACACAGCATCTCCTTCACAGCACCTTGCACAGTGGTAATTATGTCTTAACACCGGTGTTGTCTAACGTCTCCCTAACCTGTCACCTCCTTGAGGACAAGGACCATGTCTGTTTTGTTCCCTATTATACCCCCTGTGCCTATCCCAGTGCCTAGCACATAGTAGGTCCTCAGTAAATATTTACTGACTGACTGAATCTGGAAATCTCATTACACCTTCCCTCTGCCTCAAGCTCTTCAGTAATTTTCTGCTGTTCTCGCGATAAAGGCCAAACTCCCAGGTGTAGTTGCTGGCTCTGCTGCATCAGCCTCTCCTGCCTCTTCCACCTTTTCTCCTGCCACCTCCTCCTCTGTGTTCCATCCACACTGGCTGCCTTCATGGGCCCACACTGCTGTCTCTCACTTCCAGGCTTTTGCACATGCTGTTCCCTCT